AGAAAGAAAGAAAGAAAGAAAGAAAGAAAGAAAGAAAGAAAGAAAAAGAAAGAAAGTCAAACCAAAGTGGCTTTACTAGTGACTCCTACCAAATGTTTAAGGCACAGATAAGTCCTTCAGACAAAACTCTCAGAAAGAGGAAGGAGAACCTCCCAGGTCACTTTCTGAGGTTAGAAAAATCTTGATAGCCGAGATCAGTTTTTTATTGGCCTTGGTGGCATCTGAGATAACAAGGACGTCATCAAATATAAGAAAGAAAACTTGGAGCCCTATCTTACTCATTAGTATGCAAATGTGAAAATGTGGAAAAAATCTGGCAACATGCAACAGTGGTAAAAATATCATGACCATTTGAACTAATCCTAGGTATGTAAGATGACTGTGATGGGGAAAATTGATTATATATAATTTACTATGAATAAAAACCATTTGTGAACATTCACCTCCATGCTTACAAAAACTTGTAGTAAACTAGATATAGAAAGAAACTTCTTCAGGCTTACAAAGCCCATAATATTTATTTAATAATCAAAATAAAATGGAAACAACAAAGAGTTTCAGCTCTAGATAGAGTACGAATCACTTGGACATATAAGCCTGAAGCCCACCAGCAAGGTGGGTCTCTCATTAGACCAGTGGGTGGGGGTTGGAGCCAGACTGCCTGGGGACCCAGCAGATGTAGCGATGGATGACCAGGGAGAAGACTCCAGGGAGAGACTCCTGTCTATGGGGATGACACTGGTCCTCACCGTTAGGGAGAGTGTGAGATGCTCCTGGAGGAAATCCCCACATTCCTTTCAAACTGTTTTCCTCGAAGTCAAGTGCACTTTAACAACTCCAGCAGCATTTGTGCCTATTTTCAAAGGTCACGCCAGGCCTCATCATCTAGTTTATAGGTTAAAGTGTTTGTGGGTGATAGAGCAGTTTTGTGGGTAGAAGGAGAAAGTCTTTTTTAAAAAGTGGTGCTTGCACTGAGACAGGGGCTCAGGCTTCACCAGCGGTGATTGTCTTGGAAGAATAAAGACCCATCCCAGGTGGAGGCAATAAAAATGTCTTGTACGTGGAGAATTAATAATAATGATGATAGTAAAGTTTGATTTGACCCGCTCTTTATTATCCCCACAAGCCTGCAGCTCCACACAGTGCCCGTGGTAAAGTCCCTCTCCCTCCCCTCCCTCTGCACTCCCTCCCCATCCCCAGCCAGGCCCATGCTGACCATGGAGCTCCCCATCAGCAGTCCTGCCAACTGTCTGCAGCAAGGCAGCATTCATTTTTGCATCCTCCTTGTGCTCTGGCACAGCTCCTGGCGCACGACAAATGCTGAGGAAATGCTTACTGTTTTAAGCATTACTAACTTTGCACTCAGAGACAAACCATAGCATCAGATGTCATAAAGGACAAGAGCTGTGGCATAATGGAGGGAACTTCAAAAAGAGAGAGATGGAGATGGTGGGAGACTTAGGTTAGGTCCTGACTCCATCACTGATTGTTTTCTGCATGTGCGATCCCGGTGGACTGACATCAGTGACAAGCTAATGGGCATGTTAGTGTATGGCCAGCCGTGGTGCAAACACCCAACACACGTGGCCCAGGTCTACACACCATACCAGGGTGGAGGAGCTGAACTAAATGAATGACTTTAACTCAGGAGAAAGTGCCTGCAGCATTTTGGAGAGCAAGATTCGTCTCTGGGTCTCGTCTAGGTCAGCATCTAAATCCACACTGTGCCGTGTATTGCCCATGTATCCCAAGGGAAAGGAGATAATGCTAATTACTGTGCAGGCACACAGCGAAAATTAAATGACATGGGCTCATTCATTTACTATCCACTCAGTAAATATTTATCATATGGCTACTACATGCCTAGTATGGTCCCTGGTCATGCAAGAAATTTTCATACCCTAATGACTGAACACGTTTAAAGGGCAAATGATAAATGGAAGTATGTTATGCTATCAGTATCTCTTAGTTGATTAGAAAGAAATATTTGTGCTAATATTTATTGGAGAAATTTTTATGCCCATATCTTATACCCTGAGCAACTACTTTAAAGATAACAAAATGTAATGTATTAACAATTGCTATTCTCCTATTATTTTATTATGAAATTTTATTTTTTTTCATAAAAAATTAAATAAAAAAATAGAAGAGCTTGAAAGACTAGTGCTCTTGTCACAAAAAAGTTTCTTTTAGTCTGGAAATATTCTAAAGTGCCTGAAGAATTGATTTCTTCTTCTTTTTTTTTTTTTTTTTTTTTTTTTTTTTTTTTTGATACTGGGTGGAACTCAAACTCACAACATTGCACTTTCCAGGCAGGCGCCCTGCCACTGAGCTCCAGCTCCAGCCTACAGAACTGACTTCTGCACTGAGAATAAAAGAAGAAGGGGAAAAAAAAACTCAGCTGGACATAGTATGCATACTTGTAATCTCAGCACTCTGAATAGCAAGTTTGAGCCCAGCCTGGGAAACTTAGTGATTTAATAAGATCCTGTCTCAGAATAGAAACTATAAAATGGTTGGGGATATAGCTTAGTGCAAAGTCCCTGGGTTCAATCCCTAGTACTGAAAAAAGAGAGGTAGGGGAGAGAAGAATAACAAAAAAACATAAGTTGGGTTGAGATATAACGCAGTTGTAGATCACTTACCTAGCATGCGCAGGGTCCTGGGTTCAAACCCCAGCAATATACATACAAACAGAGAGAGGGAGAGAGACAGAGAGAGAGAGAGAGAGAGAGAGAGAGAGAGAGAGAAAGAGAAAGAGAGAAAAAAGAGAGAGAGAGAAAGAGAGAGAGGGACAGAGAGAGAGAGAGCAAACTGAACCATAGAAGGAGAGGACCAACTAAGACGCATGCCACTACACAAGATATGGGTACAACACATGCTACCCATGCAGCCCAGAGCTGGTAAGAGCATTGAACTGCACCATGCAGAGCCCTGGGCACCAGAGTATGCAGAGTCTGGGTCATCAGCAGATTTGGCTCACACAGACCAGGAGCAGGAGTCCAGGAGCCCTGAACTCAGGTGTTATTGCCTAAAAGGCCACCAGTCGGGTGAGAGTTGAGGCAACAGCTGACCTACGGAACAGGGGAGGTATTGTTCTGGGAGACATCTGCATGGACCATGCGGGAGGAGGGACTGGGGCCAGAGGAGGGTAGCCGGGGGCATTCAGAAGAGACCATCAAAGCAGGATCCCTGTCCTGTGAGGTAGGAAAGCAGCCAAGGAAGAGCTATCCTCAGGCTCACGCCCGAGCACCTACCACATCTTTCTTAGGTTTTTGGATCTCAGCTCTGCTGTGACCACTAAGGGATCCTTCTGACACATTGTGTACAGTAGCAGCTCCTCCCCTCTTCCTTTGCTCTCCAGCCAGATACAGTGTTGTCTGAAAGGTCTCATTTGTGCATCTGTTCATTGCTGTCGCCCTCAGTGGAATACTATGCCAGGCAGAGCCCCTGACTTGTGTCTTCGCTGTGTCCCCTGGGACAGGCTGGGATATCATAAACACTTGGTGGTCCTGAGGGACCAGGCTGCAGCAGGAAAACTAGGGGTCACACGGGGAGCAGAGGCAGCGGGGAGATGGAAGTGTCACAGTCTAAGCATAAATGGCTTTCAGGGTGCACTTGTGACTTCCGTCTCAGAACTGTAGTGGATTGATAACTGGTGGTCAACTTATAACCCCCAGCTGAACTGAGTAACCATGGTGCTGGGTGTGGGAGGCCCACCTGAGGACTGTTGCCAGCAGCATAAGAGGCAGACCTGGAGAAGAAGAGGCTGTTGGGAGCTGAGAGAGGCTGTTGGGAACTGAAAGAGACCGTGGGGAGCTGGCTTTCCTGATGAACTTGGCTGTTTTCATCCTCCGGGGAGCTCGGGACCTTGCTGGCACTGAGAATGGCTTCAGTTCACTTTGGAGAGCTCTGGTCCTCACTTTGAGCATTGCTTCCTGTTTCCGGAGGGGAAGATGGTGCACTGCCGGCCTCCCGGAAAAGCTTGCTGCTTTGGCTTCCCTGACTGGAACTCGGCCATCCTGATCATCAGAGGAGCTCGGGACCTCACTGTTGCTGATGATGGCTGTGGTACCTTTTGGGGGAGCTCTGGTTCTTCTGAGCATCACTTCCTGGCTCCAGTGCAGATCCCTCAGCCTGCTAGCATAGATCCCTCAGCCTGCTAGCCATCCTGCTGGCACAGACTTTGTAGATTTCACCACTGACCTTTGGGCCTTCCCAGCAGATCCGTGAAACAGGCCTGCATGAGACATTGTCATGGGTTCCTGGCCTCCAGTTGGATTCATGGGAGGCATTGTTATGAGCTCTGGGTATTCAGCTCAACTCATGTAGGACACTGTTGTGGGATCCAGGCCCTCAGCTGGATTCCTTGGTCTTAGTGTGTGGACAGATTCCCTGCACTCTTTTGTATACTGTTCTTTGGGTGACTTATAAATAATCATATAAAGTATGTGTCCTGTATTATGTTGTTCCCCTTGCAAAGTAAGCCTCAAACCAACACAAGGACACACTCAGAAAACAGGAGGGGCTGAGCTAACAGGGAACAGAGGGCACCCGGGGCCCCACATTAGAAACTGGCCCACTGAAGTTGATGCTGGCAGCTGGAGTTACCAGGGGACTTGGGGTGAGGATGACAGATGAGACCAGGAAAAGAGGCCCAGCTCTGATAAGGGGTCTCAGCTGGCACTCTGCCCCCTGGACTCCTCGCTGAAGCCAGGATGCCCTCGCTGGGTGGGGCCTCAGAGGCCAGGATGTGTGAAAAGCAGACTGCTCTGGACTACAGAAAAGTAGACAGCAGGAAGCCCAAGGGCCAGCGGGGTGGAGGAGTGGGCAAGGCACTGCAGGGGCCATGTGGTGCTGTGGCACCCAGCGAGGGGCCTGGTCACCCCCTTGTTCCCTACCAGACCCCATCCTCAGCTGTTCACTGAGCCCCACCTCAAAACCCAGCCTCGGGTGAGTGCAGATTCTCCAAGTAGAATGACCAAGGTGCCACCCGATGCCTGGAGGAATATTGAAACTACTCTTTCATCAGTAATACTGACGTACTTTTTGGGCATGTCTTGGCCCATGTTTTAGGCCATGGTTCTGGACTCAGATTCATTCTTCAGTTTAAATATCTGTAAAATGAAGGTAATAATTACTGCTGTGTCATCTGACTCTGGGCGCAGTAGGTGAGCTAAGGCCTGTGGAGGCCCCCTATGGGCCACATTTCCAAGCCAACATTTAGTAAGGGGCTAAGAACACCTATTGTAAAGCCTAGAGCAGCAGTGGGGTGGGGTGGGGGAGAGCGCCTCTCTGCTGCCCTCTACTGTCCATCTAGGGAAAGCTTCTGAGCCAATGACCAGCGAATGCTCTGGATGCTGTCACCAGTGTTCTGGAAGGTGCCCACTGGAGGGTGGACTCATTGAGGTGGGGCCTGGCACAGGCCTAGCCCATTCTGAATGGACCACCTTTCCACCAGGCTCAGACCTGTGTCTGCCTTCTACCACTGTCCCCTCTTGGTTCCCCAAAGCAGTTTTGAGTTGCACGGTGTGCTTACAGAGCCTTTTTAGCAGCCACCAGCCCTGAGGGGAGAGGAGTGCAAACTAAAATTTTATTTTTCAAGTAAAAGAGGCAGCCCAGGACACACAGAAAAGGAAGGTGAGGTGGAAAGCAAAAAGCCTGGTTATGGAAAGACTGCAGAGAGGCCCACTGGAGCCAGTCCCCAGCTCCCAGGGAAAGCAGGGGGTCGGGTGCACCTAGGCTGCAGGCTGGGGCTGGGGGGTCTTGGGGCCTCATCTCCAGGTGCAGCACTTGCACAAGGTACTGAACACCAGGCCTGGGGCACAGCTCTGCTGAAACAGCTGCCCCCCTGCACAGATGTAAAATCCAGACGCATCCTGAGGGTTGGGGTAGAGACCATCAGCTTTGCCCTGGCAGAAGGTGTCTTGTCCAGGGCTGGAGTCCGGCTTAGGGTCAGAGTGATGGGTGGGTGCAGGCACCTCCGGCTCTGGGGGGCCTGGAGACATGGATGGAATACCTAGGGAGACAATGAAGATTCGGCCAAGAGATCCTAAGCCCACAGGCCAACCCCACAGGCAGCAGTCACAAGAGGCAGCAGTGCAGCCCCCACAGTCCAGGTGCAGAACTAGACCACAACCACATCTGCAGCCGGGTGCAGCTCTAGGCACAGCTACACGTGTGATAGGCTGCCGATGGCCAGGTACTGCCTGCAAAGCCCAGCCATGCATGGTTGAGGGGTCACACGCTACAGGCTGAGCATAGGCTCCCTCTGCTGAAATGGGTGTAAGCTGTACGCCCAGGCTGAGACCTTTGGAGGGAAGCTTCGTTACAACACGGGGCAGGCATTGCCACAGCAAGGAAGGAGAGGGGGAGAGCACAAAAGATAATAATTTCAAGCGTTTCCGCAGCACTCAGGGGTGCAGGAAGTTTGGGAAATAACACTAGTGGGGCATAGTAATTTCTTCCAAAAGCCTAGCACCTGTGGTTCGAGATGGCAGGGGGTGTACCTGCACCCAGTCTTCACTTCTGGTCCCTGGCCCCTACTCACTCAGCTCCCGCCGCAGCATCTGGATGAGGGGGTACCGGCCCTGGTTGCAGAAGGAGCCCGAGAAGTCATCCAAGTCCAGGGCCCACACCATGGCACCGCCCAGTCCCTTCTGTTTCACGTAGCCCACCTGTGCCAGGGAAATGGAGGTCCAGAAGCCTGGCCAGGCCAGCCCCAGAGCCCGGCGTCCTCCTCCCGACAGGGCCCTTCTGACCAGCACCCTCAGACCCATGGGTGGTTGGGGATTCTGCAGATGGCCTTAGAGGCTGAGTCCAGACCCTGCTGACCATAAGCATGGCCTGGATGGGGTGGGGGTGGACAGGTGAAGAAAAGTGATGGCAGGTGGCCTGCTCTGGCATTTTGGTCGTCCTGGGCTGAGTTGCTATTTGACGCACTGTTATGGTTGTGTTAGGTTCAGTTACTGCAGGGAACAGCTAGACCTCATAGAAGGTCTATACCAAGTTTTGCTTCCCTGGCTTCATGTCTTGATTTCCCTGAGGGCCTTCTCTCCTCTACCAGAGCTCCCAGGGAATACAGGCAGGCTGTATGTCCCCTCAGAGAGGGGACAGAGATGCTTTCCACCTTGCCAGGGGGCTACACTGCTTGCCCTGGAGTGGGGCTGAGAGAGAAGGATTGGGGAGATCAGACCCCTTGCTGGCCCCAAACTCTCTCTCCCACCACCTCCCTTCTACACCTGACCCTGCTCAGCATCCTACTGTGAGGGTGTATGCCTTGTTCTTGGGATCCATTTCCCCTCCCTTCTCTGCCATGTCTCTGTTCCGTTTCCTTCCAGGTCCTCCACTTCCAGGTTAGAACTCATCTCGGCAGGCTTCTGCCACCTTCTCAGCTCTCAGCCCTCATTACGGTCCCCAGACTCTCCAGGGTGCTTGTCTGCACTTCCAAAAGACCCTGCCACTCTCAGCCCTGCATGATAAGTGATGTGGAGAGTGCAGAGGAGCGCAGCGTCCTTCTTCAAGAGTGGATGATCTGGGGGAGAGGCCTGGAAATACATAGTGAGCTCAGACTGGCAAGACCATTGAGTAAATCCATGGCATAAACACCGCCAAATGGGCTGAGTAAAGTCATAGGCCTTACCATGCATAGTTCTCTTCTTGTGTCTGTAGAATGTGTTAGTATTTAATAAAATACAAACCTTTTCAAGAGTGCTACTTTGAATGTAATCATCATGCCTTGCAAACATGTACTAATAAAAAATAAATTGAAAAAGAGTGTTATTCTGTGTAAAGTCATATTTTTCTTGTGTGTGTGTGTGTGTCTGTGTGTGGTGCTGGGCATTGAACCCAGGACCTCATCAAGGTAGGCAAGTGATCCACCACGATGCTACATCTTCAGCCCTTTTTATGAGCTTCCTAAGAGTTTAATTACAGAGTCTTACTAAGGGGTCCTGGTTGGCCTTGAACTTTCAAGTCTCCTGCTTCAGCCTCCTGAGTAGCTGGGATTACAGGTATGTACTATCAAGCCTTGCTTATTGTGTGTCTTTTCCTGATCAATAGGTGGTAAACGTTCTAAATGTTGTCACATGGAGATTTGAGAAATGTGGAGACGTTTACAAGAAGACTGACCCTTGGACAGGTTCGAAATGCAATTATTCAACGTTACCAACAGGTCTTGGGCCTCTCTGAGACCACCTGGCTCCTAGCAGGGCTGGGTCTCACCTTGGCTTTGAAGCTCTCCACATCATCAAATCCCACCCACTGGTTATCCCGGACAGCATAGGGCACCTTCTGGTCCTCAATTCTGAGCTTCTTCCAGGAGCAGACCTGCAGGAACAGAGCAGAGTGGTAGGGAGGAGGAATGTGTTCCAGAAGGCACCAGCCCCTCCCCAGCAGAGGGGACCAGAGACTGGCAAATGCCTGTCTGAGGTGGCCTTGAGAATACAGGAGGTTCTATGTTGGAAAGCCTAAAACTGTGGATTCAAACTTGAGGCACTTGGGTTTAACAGTAAATCCAAGATGAATGGGATAGAACCTACCAGGCCAGAATTCTCACTCAAAAACTATGGGTGAAGAATCCCTCTAACCTCCCAGGCAGCTCTGGCCCCCCACAATCCTCAGGATATCTATGAGTTTTCCTACCTCATAATAAGCCAGGAAGCCTCCTTCTTTAGTGAAGGGGCCAGGGGCACCAGGCCCTGTGGCTGGGGCCCCCACTCTGGTGTCTGATGAAGAAGCCAGGGTGAAGGATCGCCCGTAGGTGGGCATGCCAAGGACCAGCTTGCTGGCAGGGGCTCCCTTCTGCAGCCACAGTTGTACAGCAGCATCCTGGTAGTGGAGAAGGAGGGACTGGTTAATCTCTTCTACCTTGGCCTGGCTCTGAATGTCTAGAAATGGGGGCTCCAGAGAAGGGGGTGGTCCTGAAACAGCTAGCAGGGCAGAGACTCCCCTACTGGAGATTCGAGGGCCTTCATTAGTACTGCAACCCTGCATATCTTCTGTAGATGCTGTAGTTGTCACCTTGGTGTTGCCGGGACAAATTCCTGACACATGCAATTTAATGAAGGAAGATTTATTTTGGCTCATCTTGGAGGCTGCAGTCCATGGTCAGTAGACTCCAGGTAGAAACAGCATAGCAGAGGAAAGCTGCTGAATTCATGGTGACGAGGAGGCAGAGAGGGAGTGACAGAGCCAGAGGAGGAGGTTTGGGGGATGAGTTACAGCTTTCAAAGACACACCTATAGTGACCCAGTTCCTCTAGCTAGGCCCATTCAGAGGTCTTCCCCCTCATGGTCCAGCCACTCCCTAGGCCCCACCTCTCAACAGTGCTGCAATGGGAAGCAGGTCCTCAATCCCTGAGTCTTTGGGAGAATGTTTTCTATCTAAACCATGGCACATCCTGCCTTAGATGCTGGGCCCCAGCATGAGAAGCTGCCTGGGGTGCTGGCTTTGGAGTCAAACAACCCCTGCCTGAAAAAACGCATACTTTTGGCCCAATGCATGCTAGACTCTGTCCCAGACAACTGGGATGCGTTAGGGAACAAAGCAGACAGAGATCCCCGCCATACTCAGCAACTTGTTTAACATGGAAGTAATAAAAAACTGCCATCTCTAAGGGTGTTGTGTGCATTGTACAAGGCCTAGCACGGTGCAGTACAGGGGGGCTATGACCATCATCATTGGCATTATTGTGGTTAGAAGTTTCAGCTAAACACAAGAGCAGGGACCCCGTGCCCACTGTGCTTATCTCTGCGTCCCCAGGGCTGAGAGCGCTGCCTGGCACTGAGGTGCTCACGCAGCTCCCACAGCAGCCTGACCTACTTCTGAGCAAGGCCCTCCTGCCACCATATGTCCCTGGGTGTGAAGCTCCCAGGCTTGGGACACAAGGAGGTACCTAATGTAAGTGTACACGCATTATATTTATATAGTCTTTTAAGGCTAGGGGCTTGAATCCAGGACCTTCAGCCTGACCTACATACCCAGTCCTTCCATTATTTTTTGAGACAGAGTCTCACTAAATTGCCCAGCCTGGGCTCTAATTTATGATCCTCTTGTCTCAGCCTCCCAGAGTGCTGGGATTACAGATGTGCACCACCACACCTGGCTATAAGCATGTTGAATAAAGAATGATAAAGATTCTTCCCCTAAGCCAAGATGATAGCTCACTTTCCCCTGGAAGCCAACCTAGCTGAGACCAGCTTGACTTACTACATGCCCTCTTAGAATTTAGGTAAAGAACATTTTTCACTACATCGCTTTTTTTTTTGTCAGTCTACATCATTTATCATTGATCAGACTGAGCTTTCAGGGCTAGTGCCCTGCTAATCTATATGGCACTTTCATGAAAGTTTGGGGAACCTCACCCCTCTGGCCAGAAACAATCTGCCAACATGGCATGGCAAGCAGAAGAGCTCTGTTGGAGGAGAAAGACCCTTCCTCTGTGGACCCAGACACGCAGCAGAGAGAGACCCAAGTGGTGGGACGTCGCCTACTCTCCCATCAGCTGAAAGTCCTTGTGTGTCCCCTCACTGTGCTGGGGCTCCTTAAGGATACAGTTTCCTCCAAAGCCCACTCAGTTTTCCAGACAGGGTGAGGGGTCAGGCTCATGAGAGAGCCACATAGCTCAAAAATGTGGACACATACAGGTGTGGGAGTCTAAAAGATTTCTGAAAAGCATTTAACTTAGGGCTTTCATGATTGTTACTTGTTTTAAGAGAGAGAAATAATATGGTTATCCTTGACTTTTGAGATCTAGAGTGGGTTTATAAAATATAAAAAATATCTAGGTTGCTAAGGAGGGAAGCACTGCACAAGAAAGCCAACACACTGCAGTCTAAAACCAAGCCTGCCCTTTGCAAGGGCTGGGGCAGTTTGGAAAATGCCCAGCCCTGAAAGCATCTTCCAGAAGGTCTGTGAGTGACCCATTGTCTTGAAGGAAGTGGGGTGAAGGTGTGAAGAAAGCAGGAGACATGCCAGCTGGGGGCTCAAGCTCTAAGAGGGACCCCCAGTGTCCCACCATGGTCACTTTGAAGTGTTACACTGGTTTGTCTACTAGCAGGCAAGATGCCACACAGAAGTGAGATTTCCCCCTCAGTAGAGGCATGGAACAGGAAAATTTTAAAAAGCAAAGAAACAAAAAGATTCCTAGTTTTCTTAGCTCCCTGCTTGGTTTTCTTGTTTCTTTCTTCCATTAGAGCTTTGAGGTTCAGAGGGGTCCCTGGGCAGGGCCTGCTGGACACGGAGTCCTGCCTCTTCCCTTAGGCCACTTACCACGTTGTATTCAGCCGCTGCGCCACTCTCCCCCTGTCTTTTGTAGAGGGGACTGTTATGCCCTGTCACCTTCTCCCAGGAGCTGTGGAGGTCGTAGGCCATGAGGTTGATGAAGTCCAAGTCCCTGCAGGAGGCGGGTAAAAAAGCGGTGAGGGCTAATGATTAGGTGGCGCACTCTTTCCCCCTCCCAGTGTCTGGCCTGGGGCGGGACCATGGAGTCAGAGGAGGGTGGTGGACTCTCCCTGGCTCTGTGGCTAGCACTCCACCCCTCCCCATTCCCACTGTGAGGTGGGCAGCTCAGACTGTGGCTCCCTCCCCCCACTCTCTTCTCTGTCTCAGCCAGTGTGCCCCCCCACACACACCTGGAGCTAGCTTTCTTTTTTTTTTGGTACCGAGAATCTAACTCAGGACACTGCACTTGCCAGGCAGGCTCTGTGCTGCTGAGCTATATCCCCGGCCCCTATTAGTGTGCAGGAATCCCCCGGGGATCTCTCTAAAAGGTAGGTTCTTCCTGGCAAGCCTGGCGAGGGCCTGAGAATCCACGTCTACCATGCTCCCAGGAGCAGCATGAGGGGAGCTGGGAGCCAGACCACCCATTCTCTTGGAGACGGTTGGGACTTCCCTCTTGGCCCCCCGTCCCCTGGGGTTCCCTAAGGGGAAGACGCAAAGTGAAGGATCTGGAATGGTGGAGGAGACACAGATGGCAAAGCCTTCTGGACGCCTTCAGTGTCTCAGAGCAGCCCTCGAGTGGGTGAAGATGTGCTCTGCTCTGGGAAGCTCAGTCCACACTGTGCCTTGCCTGCCTCAGAGGACACAGGGTCCAAGTCACAATGTCCAGGGTCCAGTGGGCATGGGACTCACCCAGCAAGCCTGTCCACCTCGTAACCAGCATCCACATAGTGTTGCCCGGCAGGAACTGCCGCACTCAGAAGGAGCCGTTCCTTCCCTGAGGTCTGGGCTTCCTGCTGGAAGGCCCTGGCCAAACCCTGCGGGGACAGGATAGGTCAACACTGCAGAAGGCACGTGCGGCACGAGGGCCTTTGTGATCTCCTCTCCCAAGGGTTTGAAAACTGATCACACGGCCAGTCTGAGCTGAGTAAATGAACGGGGTCAAAACAACATCCACTGCTGTGAGGCCACTGGTAGGCCGGGTGGCCCTTGTCCCACTGGCTATACCTGCACGAGGGCTGTGAAGCGCTGCTTGTCCGCCGCCGGGCTCCCCCGGCTTCCTGGGTACTCCCAGTCAAGGTCAAGGCCGTCAAAGCCGTATGTCCGCAGAAACTTGATGGCTGAGTTGATAAAGATCTGTTGGCTGTTGGCTGTGGCCACCATATCTGTGAACCTGTGAAGTGGCAGAGGGTGTGGGCCTGCCCTGGGCCAGACAGAAGACCACTGTCCCCCTCCAGGGCAACCTGAAACCACTTGGGAGGCTGGTGCTCATGGGTCTAAGCCAGAAGGGACCCTGGGGTGCTGCCTTGGGGCTGCTGGAGTATCTGTCAGCAGGTTAAGAAAAAGGGACAAAGAAGTGCTTCTTGACCCCAAGTGTTGATGCACCAGGCACAATGACTTACTCTGTGCCAGGCTGCCCACCATGTCCCTGGACCGCCCCACCCAAATCAAAGCATGCTGTACCCGCGCCCACTGCTATACCACATGGACGCTGAAAAAGAAGGCAGAGCTGGCTGTGGTGGCCCACACCTGTAACCTCAGCACTCTGAGTGGTTGAGGCAGGAGGGTCAAGAGCAGGCCAGGCAATTTAACAATTTAGCAAGATTCTACCTCAAATTAAAAAAAGGCTGGGAATGTAGCTCAGGGCAAAGACCCCAGGTTCAGTCTCCAGTACCTCTAGAGAAGAGAAATGGGTCTCTAAGATGTTGGCGAGAAGGGAGGTGTGGCCAGGTTGGCAAGGACCTGAGTAAACTGGAGCTGCTGATTCAGTCCCTTGGCGGGGTTAGTAGTCATCTGTCTCCCAGCCTGCCTTTGTAGGGTGCTAGCTTCTATGCCCATCACTCCAGAGCTCTCTGAAACCCCCGCGCTGCCCAGGAAGCACCTCCAGACCTCTTTCTTCCTTAGTAGTCCTATAAGCAGGCTCCGCATTTCTTGGGGTCTTAAGTTCCTTACAGATAGATCCTATTTTAATTTACTCTTAATAATTTCTAATATAATTAATAGCGGCCATGATTAGGCAGGGTCCATGTGCCTGGGAGAGCAGGCTAAAAACAGCCGCACATCAGGGAAAAATCAGAGGATAAAGATTATTTGGGGAAGATGAGCAGGAACATTCATTAGATTCTCAAAAGGGTTTATGATCTAAAAAAAAGTTTTAGAAGCACTGTTTAGTCAGAACCTTGGGAACCTATATTCTGGATTTTGTGGAAAAATCCAGTTCCAAATATTCTATTCCATTATCTCCATAAATTAAAAAAAATTGTTCCAGAGATGCCAATAGTTTGACTACTATTATAGACTACCTAGAAGCAGAACAAAACTCTTCCTTCCTCAGACAAGATGTGTGATCATGGGGCTCAGAAGACATAGCCCAGTGTGCGGGCATTGTCTGGACTCAGCTGGGACTCTCTACCTGTTTCACAGATGAAGAGTCAGAGGTTTGGGAAGTCAGAGCTCTCTGGGCCATTATAAGTTGTGCTTCTGACAAGCCTGGACCTACCACAATCTGGGGCCACCACCACTCTGCTGTTCCCCTGCAGGGCCACCAACAACCCAGAGGAAGAGTGAGCCCCAAAGTGTGTCTCTCCTTCTGCCTGGGCCAGATTCCATGTTGATGGTTCTCCTGGCCCCCATCCAGGGCCCCATCACCCACGTGCCCACAGCCCACTCACTTTCGAGTGCCAAAGCTCCAGCCCCCGATGGCTAACAGAGTCCTGAGCTTGGGATTCCTGTGAATACAAAAAATGTTTGAGGATTTACCCCACCAGCTCCCAGGGGTTCTGGGTGGAAATGATGGAGTGGGAGCTGGGGAGGCACAAGCCCCCAGGCACAGGGCCTATGCTGAGCTCTCTGGGGAAGAAGGCATGTTGGGTTTGTTGGACCTGCTGTCTTCCTGGGGAGACAACACAGGAAGAAAGTAATCAGGAGTCCTCAGAGACTTTGTAAGGATGGCCTTAACACTTGAGCTAACAGAAGGCTAGATTTTAGAGCATTCCTGGAAGGAAGGACTGTCCCAGCGAGGGAACGAGTTCCACACTCCTGATCTCACTTGGACCTAAAATGGAAGGTCCCTTAACAGTTCCCCAGTCTACCGTACCTCTTCCACAGACACGTAGGGAAGCCCAGAGGAATGATGTGACTTGCTGGAGGCCACACAGGTCTGTGGTGGGATGCGGCAATTTTTGGCTCTGAGAAGGGCCTCCCGTCCCCAACCCTGGGGATTCCCTCTTCCCCTTCAGCTCACATCTTCTTCAGGCCATTGAACTCCTGGTAAAGCTGCTTGTCATTCCACTCTACAGAGCTGAGCTGGTGGCTGCTCATGCCTGCGAAGGCGTAGATGAGGTGTGTACACAGGTTGGGATCCACGGCTCCAGGGAAGAAGCGAGCCACCCCTTCTCGGTACTGGGCCCAGTTGGTGAAGTAGCAGACCAGTTTTGCAGCAGAGCCTGACCAAGTGGGGGAAAGGAAGGACATGGCTGTCAAAAGGGCTGCTGGGATGGACAGTGCACCGGGCATTTGTCTGATACTGGATGGCCCTGACAGTCAGAGATGGCACCTGCTTTGGTGCAGGCAGCATCTCTCAGGAAAATGTATTCAGAGGCCACCATGTATGAGGTCTTCAGAACACCAAGCAGTCAGGGCCACTGTCACCATGGTCACTTGCACCATGTGCAAGCTGAGGCTCATGGGCTGGGTCCTGTCCCAGGCATCAAAGCTGCTAAGAGGGTGGCTTGGGGGCCCAGGACCCAAATCTCTTGACCCCTCATATTCTCGAAAGAGCCCAAGCCCTCAGGCAGCCTTCCCTGTTCCCAGCTAGTCTTGCCCCTCCAGGGCCTGAAATGTCCCAGAAGACAGCCCAGGCAGCCCCAACACAGGTGCAGAGGAGATTAAACAGGGCACTTCCTCTGCCAGAGGAAAAGAAGCAGAACTTTGAAACCCTGGGGGGATTCTTCAGAATGTTAATTAAAATGCAAATGAATGTAGCTTCAGAGAGGAGGCTCTGGTTACTGGATCCAGTAAGTTTATGTTTCTTTAATCATGCATCAAAGTGGTTTGCATTAACTTCTTAGCCCTTGTGGGGAAACTATGTTTATCAATATCACAACCCAGGTTCTAATAAAGAGCTTATTTTATCTCAGAAAAGGCAGCTTGTCTCTGGTGTCTTCTACAACATGTGAGAAGACTCATCTCTGTTTCCCGTGGGATCTAGCAGTGTTGGCTCCCACAGAGGTCAGCCCTGTGCTGGGTGGCTGAGGACATGGGAAAGCAGGATTATCCGTCCAGGTTTCCTTGGGTGTCAGCCGCATCTGAAATGGCTGTGAGATCTCTGCGCCCTCTTCCCATCCTAAACTCTGTGATGGGAGATGTACATGAGCCAACATTTATGCCAAGCATTTGGCGGAATGGTGATTTGGACGGCAGTGTGCCTGTGCCTGGCCTCCAGACCCGCACATCCCCGGGGCTGGCGGGAGGATGGAGGAAGGGCAGGATGCGGAACAGCTAGAAGAGAAAGCACAAAAGGCCAATCTTGACAGAGGTCACCTGGAGTAGAGTGTGTTGGCAAGGCCAAGACACGGCCCTCAGCGATCTAGATGAAGATTGGTGACAAAGAAGAAAGGAGCGGATCAGCCCAGAGCAAGACCCCCCAGGAAGGAGCCAGAGGCTCACAATTATTGTGTCAGGCCACAGCCTATCACATGCCACCTACAGATTTTGTGTGGTGGCAGCAATAAAGAGTGGTGGGTAGCTGGGCGTGGTGGTACATGCTTGTCATCCCAGCAATCTGGGAGGCTGAGACAGGAGGATGGAAAGTTTGGGCCCACCCTGGGCAACTAGGCAATTAGGGAGACCCTGATTCCAAATAAAAATATACAAAAAGGTCTGGGCATGTAGCTCAGTGTGAAGGTCCTGGGTTCAATCCTCAGAACACCCCCAAACAATAAAAAGGATGATGGTAAATGTGGCTGGTAAGAGCAAGGACTGTGGAGTGTCAACGCCTATCCCCTTCTGTGTGACCAAGGAGGAAAATGTATGTCCAATGCCACAGCCTAGTGAGAAGGGCAGCAGTCTCAGGATGAGCGCTCCCAGACCACAGATGCCCAAGGAGAAAGTGGGATGGCAAGGGGACCCCTGAAGCCAAGTTCCTGAAAATCCCCTGGGGCTGGGGATATAGAGAGATGGAAGACCTGGGTTCCTTTCCTCTGGGGGCTCAGAGCTGGCTGGGGAGACACTGTGATATGTGTGGAAAGCGCGATTGCATGCTGTGAGTGACAGAGGGGCAGCAGGGGCTCGGGGAAGTTGAGGGAGGCAGGCAGTTAAAGCTGGCCCAGTGGGCAGGCAGGAGAGTGGCACACAGGTAGAGGCAGGACCTTCCTTGGAGAAGGAACTGCAGGGCGGTTAGGGGGGCTGACTTTGGAGGAAGCCGCTGCAACCTGGCCAGTGAACTTGGAGTGTGTGCGCACAAAGGGACTGGGTGGGGAGTGTGGCAGAGCCCGGGGAGAGGCTGAGATGACTCAGGACTGGGATCAGGGCAGATGCCACTTACCACACTGGACCATCAGCAGGAACATCACACCTGGAGTGACACAAGAAACATGGTAGAGGTCACATCATTATTCTCGAAGCCCCAGACCCCTTTCACTGACAGAAGCACACAGGATGGAGGTGGTCATGGAGGGCTGGTTTTTCAAGAAACAAATTCTTCCTTCCAGGAAAGACCCAAGGGGGTTGTATCCATCCCTTCACCTGCCCCAGATAGCAGGGGGAGCCCTTTCTGGTCTGGAAGCTGATGGTCAGGTGAAGGTGGTGTTAATTTAGGATGGAGGGAAATCAATGACATGTGAGAAATTCAGAGACAGCTTCTCTGTGGAGCAAGAAGAAGACCTGGCGGGGAAGGACCCACACAGAGGGTCTAGGCGGCAGACCCTGTCTCTGGCAGCTACAGTGGCTCTGCCATGATTCACGTCTTCCTGCTGCTCTCCTGCCACCCTCCGAGAGAGGCTGGTGGCATTAGTGACATCTTGGGAGATCTAGGGAGAGGTTTCTTCCACCTTCCTGGCAACCTCAGGTTTTCTGTTAACCTAATAAAACCTGCAGGAAACTTTGCAAGGACATCCAAGGCTGCCTTTTTGCAGGATAACGAGCGAACGTGGGGTTGAGGAAGCCCTTTGTAGTCAAGCTTCTTGGTAAGGCCCAAAGTAGGCACCTGAGAACACAGGAGAGAGGAAGACACCCAGGAGAGGGGCTCACTGCCTCTGGGTTTCCAGGTCAGAAACAGGAAAGTCATTTATGGCTCTTTGAGGGAAACCTTGTCTTGCATCACAAAGACTCCAGGACTGAAAGAGGGAGCCCCAGGAAAGACAGCCAATGGTTTGCAAGGCAGGACCTCCCCAGTGCCCTCAAGCGCTCCTGCTTCCTGGAAGACACAAGTCAGCACATCTCCATTTCTCTGGGGCTCCTGAGGCTCAACCCACTCTCCCACCCTGGCCTATGTACCTGCCCAGGACGCAGATGGTGCCATGATGCCAGCTCAGAGACAGGAGAACTCAGTTTTCCAGGTGCTGCTCTGCTGTAAGTGGCTGCCCTGTCCTAAATTTCAGCTGGCCGTGCTGAAATTTAGAGGCAGAGGGAGGAGCGAGCTGGGAGTGGCATGGGGAGGGATGTGTCAAGTAGTTGGGGTAGGAGGGTTGAGCAAATCTGACACAAAGGCCTTTAGCAATTCTTGCCTTTCTGGAACAATCATATGGTGTAAACTAGCCTGTTAGTGTTGTCAAAGTGGGAGGCAGAGAGGAAGGCGGGAAGTGTCCGTAAGCTCCTGCTGGCTGAGCATGACTCTGCTGTCCTTCCTGCAGGTTACAGAGGACCACAAACACCCCCAACCCTACTAGGCCTTTGGAAAAGAGAAATAACTTGTGAGCCATCCAGTCTCATCTCCTGCTTCTCCACTGTTTTCTCTTGAGCTCAGTTTCTTTGTAAGATAACAGGATTGCAAAGGAAATTTTCATGATAGTGATTTTGTTAGAGGGGCATTACTGAGCCTTTGCACAGAGCTACACTCCCAACCCCTTATACTTTTCAATTTTGAGATAACATCTCGCTAAGTCGCTAAGTTTCCTAGGCTGGGTTCAAACTTAGGATCTTCCTGCCTCAGCATCCAGAGTGCTGACATTATAAGTGTGTGCTACCACTCCAGGCTTGATAGCTTTATTTTTACTGCCTACATAATAGTAATATTTTATTTTCATGCATTTAAAATGTATAATAATGCATCATAACTGTGGTTCTAGCAACTGTTTTAAATGCCTTGCTTCTTATGAAGAATTAAGGATGCCTATGCTGTACTTGTTCATTGGGATTACTATAACAAATGACCGCAAGCTGCATGGCTTAAAACAACACAAAGGTATTTTCTTATGTTTCTGGAGAGAGAAGTCCGAAACCAAGGTGTGGTGGGCCATGATTCCTCTGGAGGCTGTAGGAGACGCCTACCTCATATCTTCCAGTGTCTGGTGGCATGGCCTACGGTAGCATCCCTCCAACACTACCTGCCTCTGATCCACATGGATGGTCCCTATGTTTTTGTTTATCTTTTCCTTTCTGTCCCCCACAAGCACACTCTGACCCTGGATGATCTCATCTTGACATCTTTATCACCTCTGCAAAAACCCTTATGCCAAATAAGCCCACATTTTGAGATTCCAGACGAAGCTACCTTTTGGATAGTCACCCTTCAACTCACAAGTCCTATGTGCTTAGTTGCTACTTACCCTCTTTGTAATGTCTGGTGCACACATTAATTTGAGTCCCTAGGAAAACCCTGCCACTTCCAGGGAGTCCAGTCTTGGTCCTTGGGCTTACCAAGAGTAGACTGATGGCTAAGCAGGCATGTCCAGTGATAGCAGGCTCTGGAGTCACGTTCCTAGGTTTGAATCTCAACTCCGTCACTTTCTGTCTATGTAGCCTTGAGTGAGCTCCCTAATTACTGTGGATTCCAGTTTCTTCATCTGTAAGGAAAATTCTTGAGAGGAGGTTACAGGGGTGCACAGTGGCTATTATTCCAGCCTCTCATTTCTGCCAGGTCCCTGTGGACCTCAGAGATTCATCATCTCTCAGATAATGGTCAGAGTCACTACAATCATGTCTCAGGCTAGGTGGGACACATCCTATACAGACCCGATGGCTAGGCCTGAATTGCCAGCTACTATGAGGAAAAGGTTGCTGCTGGAGGCCAAGTTAGGAGCTGAAAGCAGGAAAGGAAGCAGAGTCCCTGCTAACAAAAGTGGGTCTCAGCCCTAGCCCAGGTCACACGTGTGTAGAACTGAGTGACCCCTTGTGGCCTCGGCATGCTCTCAGTCACACCCCACTGTCTTTCCCCCCAGCTCACTCCCGGGCCCTCGGATCCCACGGATCTCTCTCAGGATCCTGCCTTGCTCCCCTTCAATCTACTGCACTCCAATTTCCACCATCTTCACGCAAACCCTTTTGTCAAGATCAGGAAAGAAAGAACCACAGCTTGGACACAAACAGATCTGAGTACCTACTGGACTCCAAATTACTCTGGGATGCTTTCTGCCCTCCTTTTCACCCCCCCTCAGCATCTCTCACTTCTCTCCCAGCCACCCCTTCCAAACCAAACCCAAGTAAGCCCAGCGTGCTTCACACAAAATGAAGCTTCAAGGTGCCTGTCCACAGAGCAGACTCCTATGTGGAAGCTCTCGAGCCTCAGATGATTCTCATGTGTCCTCACTGGCTGAGCTGGGGCTCATCACAGCCACTCCATGCCTCAATTTCTTCCTCTGTAAGATGGAGGTAATACTACCTTTTCTGGTTGTGATGGTGCATAGATAAAGTGTGCAAGGGCTTCCTTAGTGGCGAGGTGACAAATCTTATTGACACTGCAGTTGTGATGGTTGGCATCACACCGTTTTGCAATGCTTCATGCAGGCATTTCATCTCCACTGCTGGGCTGGCCACAGCCAGGTAAGGTCAGGCCTATCCTCAGAAGCTTTATGTGAACATGCGATGAGCCCTCAGTTAATGTCCTTTACTGTTCCTTCCCATCCCAGGATGTTCCTCCCCCTGGTTCTTCGCCATGGCAGCAAAAGTCACCGCCGGACACCAGCTCCTCCATCACACAGGAAGTGTCTTCACCTTTCTTTTTTTGCCCTCAGTGACTGGGTGTGACTAGATGTCTGCCCTCCTGTTTCATCTCCTCTACCTCTGAACAGTATCAGCTCTTGCCTTGTCCACTACCAGAGCATCGCAGCAGCTTGCCCTCCTACGCCCAGCCCCTGCAACCTGTTCTTCACACACACTTGCTGTGATCCCTGAGAAGGTAAGTTCTCTATAGTTCTCTATCAGACCTGATAGTTTCCTGCCCACACCCCGGAATGGTTCCCAATGAACTCACAACAAAACACCAACTCCTTGCCTTTGCTTCTTGAAATTTCCAAGTCTGTTCTTTCATTAAGGCCTTTGCATTTGCTGTTGGCCTCTGCCCAGAATGTTCATTACTGTGAACTTCACACGGGTTCCTCCTTCTTCCCACACAGACTTTTTCTGACACCACTCACACAAAATACCCCCCTCCCAAATCACTCTCTATCTTATTCTTATGACTTATTTTCTCCTATGTGCTTTTATGAGGTTCATTCATTCACTTACATATATTGTCTCTTTCCTGTCACTAGAATGTAAGCTGTGTGAGCAAAGGGACTTTGTCTTATTTATTCCTCTGTGGGTAGTGCCTATACTCTTTCTCAGCATATAGCAGGTTCTTAATTCACATTGACTGAATGAATGAATATGGTCTTCAAAAAGGCTCTGAATGATCTGCCCATTGTAATATTGTGATATAATAAGAAACATGTGTTTGGTCCCTGCCCCTAATTCCTCGCAAAGAGCTCCTAAACCCTTTAGAATTTCCTAGTCTCTTGGTATTTCCTGGATGATAGGAATGTGTTCTGTTCTAATAAGGTGTCTCTTGACAGGCTTCTGTATGGGAGTTGGTTACCAGAAAAGCAAGCATGATTAGAAGCTTGGAATTTTCAGGCCCACTCTCCATCCTCTGAGTGAGGAATCAATTCTCCACTAAAAAGAAACAACAATTTCCTCAATACATTGTTAAAGGGAAAAGTCGTGTCCATTGCACATGGCAGAGTAAACACAGGTATTTATCCCTACCCTCTCCTGAAACCTGCCAAGAAGGAGTTAAAGGTATATGATGGTTTAAATCCACTGGGACAAAGCAAACAGAAGACACATGAGATATGTCAACAAATACTTGAAGATGAAAACAGAATGAATGAGTGGAACTGGTTTAGCTGACCCAGAGAGGCTAAGCCCTTAGGTTACAGGGAGGAAGCCCTTAGGAAGAAAGGAACTTTGGAAAGTGCAGAAGTCAGCAGAGAGTTGGAGAGTAGACCAAAGCTAGCAACAGTAAGTGTGGGTGATTTCTTAGGCCCCTGGATCTTCTTAGTTACCCCCATTCAACTGAAGAACACCAGGGTCAGCAGAGGGTGAAGTGAGGGCCAGGGGAGGTGGTGGCAGGAGGATGCCAGACTGAACACTGAGAGGGTGGGGAACTAAATAAAAGCCCTCACACGAGATGCTCAGGCCCGCCAACCCTCCTCCTCCAGGCTTGCAGAGGCCTTCCAGAGGACAAAGCTTAGATTATATCAAAATTCAAATGACTTTTGGGGGCCCCTAACTAGGTAGCCGTGTCCCTCCCCCATCACCCCAGTGTGAGGCCCACAGAGAAGTCACCCAAGCCCCTAGAACCCCCAGTGGCTTTTGATGATTCACTATTGCATATAGGAAAAAGCCAGATGACCAGATGTGTGAGCAAAGCTTCTCACATGAAAGACCAAAACAAAAAGAAGAAGCATGGTGTAATCAAAGTGGGTG